GCGTGCGTGAGATCATGAAGCGATCCTTTGGGTTGATCATCGCCCTTGCGACTCAGCTGGCACCCATGCGTGGCAGAGATACGGAGACTGCAACTCACTCTCACAAGAAAAGGACAGGTATCATGATAATCCTGAAACATGAATATAGTCCAGTAGGTTGTTGTCCTGGTTGTTTTCGCTGTTGCCATTGTTGCCACTCCCGGTGGTGAAGATCCTTCGAGATAGCAGGTTTCCCAAACTCTACATGCGACTGGCATACCCGTGGTGACATGATCCTCATAGCATCCGTGAAAGCATCACGTGAAAAAACGAGGAATTGTTCGTCCGTCAAAGCAAGAAACGGAACATCTCAGAATGACTGGACTGGAGCATCGAAGACCCACTGTTTCCATGTTTAAACCGTTTCTATACTTCCACCTTAAGACCTGAGGTCTGTCATACCCCTGTTGGTGCTTTCGTCCTACTCAAATGCTTAAGATGACGTGATCTCGATGTGTTGGACAAAAGATGTCCAGAGGTGTCAAGGCATGACAAGACTGTCACTGTCTCATGAGGGCCCTGGTGATGACAGTGGCCAGGCAGTCGTATGACGAGTGAGAGAGTGAGATGTTATGGCAGCTCTGAGAACGACCTACCCGGAAGGGTTGTTATCAGCCGAATCTAACAGCAGCATTTTGCCCGCTATCGATGGACAGTCGATCTCGTAAAGGCCATGCACCAATGCCATTTAATAGGTCAAATGATGAGCCATCCCTTGGTGTCCTGACAGAATCCCAACCTGGTAATGCAAAAGACAGAGATTGTATCCTTGCATTGAGGCTGTCTTTGGCGTCTATCTTGCTGCACCAGATCTTGATGTCGTGGCCGGACTGCACGGTATACATCCATCGGATGGCTTGGAACATTCCCGTTTGTTTCACCACGGGACAATCCACGGTGAAGTGGAAGAACGGGTAACTCTGGGCTCAGGTGTTGGGAGTGCATCTGAAATGGACATGAGCTGCCAAATCGATTTTGACTCGATGGAACACTAGAGTCACTAGACATCAAAGGACCAGATTTGACTGAATCGTGAGGAGCCCAGTGGTGAAGACCAGAGGACAACCTGACATGTTGCTTGAACCCGAAGTGAGTGAGCGCACTGTGTGTGTGTGCGCGTGCCAAGACCTTCAAAGTGACCTTTTGAGATCCCAGTGGCTGAGGTCAAGAAAAAAGTCCCTAGAGAGGTCACATATAGACTCCAAAGAGGTCACGAACTGAAGGTCCTTTCATGTCCTTTCTGTGTGACCATGGAGTCATTGGATTGAAGCTCGTTGCTGTTTTTCCTCCAACCAACCTGTGTGGACTGGCATCGCATCTCTTCGCCCATCTTCGATGGTCAAGTGCAAGTTGACTGCTTGGGGGGTTGAGGCAATCTTGGAACTCCAACCCCACCAAGCCACTCTTGGAATTCCTGTCATATATATTTATATGTTGTTCTTTGTGAGTCTTGGCAATCAAACAGAGTCACATGCAATCAAGAGTATCCTAAATTTTACCTGACAGCTGACAGCATGTGGCATCGCAAGCCCAATCTCAAACTGGAGCGCACGCAGATGAGTTTGACATTTGGTTACAAGGTACATTTTAGTCCTGAGTTTTACAATAATTACGAATCATGAACAATCGAGACTGTGAGATACTTTGAATTAAAGGGTTCTAAGGGGATTGTTTCTGGGAAAAAACAAACGGCACTTATTATTGATTGTAAACATGTATCGATGGTCATACGACGCCCGCTTGAGCAATTGATCGGTCTCGCCCAGTTGCAGTTCATTGGCCCTGGTTTTTTGTTGTGGAGGGCAACCTATTTGATTTTGCGCCTCACCTGCAGAATAGCCGGGGAAGAACTCAGAGATGCCATGTGTTGGGCGATTGGAAGAGAACTCAGAGAGCTTTGTTAATAGGTATCGAATTGCAGATCGGGCATGGGGCCCTCTGGAGCATGGCTTGGGGCCCTCTAGAGCATGGCTTGGGGCCCTTTGGAGCATGGCTTGGCGGCCTTAGGTGCTTTGATCTTGCTAGCAGTTTTGGACTTGCTGAAACATCAAGGCTTTGGTTGATTCTCTCACCACAAGGGGACTTCAAACCCGGCACACCCTGTGTTTCTGAGAAGGAACACCCAGCTACGGATACAATTGGATACAGCAAAGGCCCACCCCCCAGGGAATCCAAAAACAGAACACCAAACCTATATATTCAGCTTTTGACCGACCACGCGCACATGTTCAAGCACTAGTTGACAAGAACCCCTCATAAAAAAAAAGGACAACCTTGTTTACCTTGGAAAATATCAAACACAGAAACACCGCACATGCACATGCCACGGGATGTGCTGAAGCCGTGCCTGTCGGTTTGCCCGTCGTTCGATCCAAGGCTCAAGAACAACTTGCCCATCCTTTGCTTCCGGGCACAGGAGCCCTTCCCCCAGGGCCCCAAGGATCCCAAACCCAAGTTTGACAGCGAAGGCGGGGCGGGTGCGTTCATTCGGTTTTGATGCGTGTGACGTATTTTCCATCTTAGAAGGACGGGTTGTTCTGAAGCAGCCAAGTGGATATCCACGTCGTTGTGGGGAGTGATTTTTTTTTTGTGTGTGTGTTCTTGAGGATTTGACATGAAGCAGGTCATGGACCCCTTTTTGTGGAGTTTTGTATCACATGTTCTTTTGGTCACCACGGGTGCCTAGCAGGCCTAGCTGCAACCACGAGAACTCATGGTTATGGTTGTGAGGCTGAACTGTGAAAGAATGAGTTCATTGAGGTGACCCGTGCCAGTGATGAACTGACTTGCTCCTTTGAGACACTACACCCGAGAAAGATGGGCTGAATATCTACAACTGACTGAGAAAAGACATGAACAGATACCTAACCCTTGATGAATCGATGATCAAAAAAAGGCTTTTTGGTTTGGCAGTCGGACTTCTTCCTTCGGCAGCCCAGAATCGCGCCCGGAATCGCACCGAATCACTAGGTGCCACGGCACCCTTTTGGAAGCGCTTGACGTACTGGGTGGTCGTCCTGGGGTCCCTCGGTGGCACCTTTTGGTGGAGAAAAACGCATTGGCGTCCTGGATGAAGTGGCTGGTTTAACAGCTTGAACAGCTGCGTAATGGGTGTAAAATCTGCGACTGTAATGGCTGGTGGATTCAAAAGTTCTGGTGGATTCAAAAAGACAGGGAAAGCAGGCGCTAGAGAATTGGGAGCAAAAAGACAGGCCACCAATGTGACTGGCTTCCCTTTTCCGAAGACACTGGCAAGAAGTGCCTCTAAGACCATCTCCGGTGGTGGGCCACTTTCGGGGGACAGGGCTTACATGGCACGGTTCTAGGGTATTGGTCACCCCTGCAGTTGTTGATAAACTGATAAACGCTACGTCAGATAGGGGTTGAAGGATGTACTTCAACCATTTATAATTACAAATGATTGCATTTCAATTTTGGTTGATCCCATTTGCAAAAGATGATGGGGGCTTGCAACCCCACGTTGCCACTAGCAGCCTGGTGTTTTAGAGGCGTTTTGAAATATCTGCGTGGTAAACGTACATTCAGAGGCACTTGGAAGACCACCCAACATTTTGGAGGTTCAAGCGTTTCACAACGTTCATCATCGTTCCACAACATGGTTCGGGCGTTGCAACATTCATCACCCGTTCCACAACACTGTCCATTCTTTCCACAACATGATGGTTCACGCGCTGCAACATTCATCATTTGTCCCACGACGTTCTTACTATACGTTCTCCACGTATCCTTTCCACAGCACACTCCATGTGTTCTGCAATACTCAACATCCCTTTCACCAGATGTTCGACCAGGCCGGGGTGAGGTCGGGGTGGTGGTGCTGTCCGGCTCGAATAACAACACATTCAACATTACAACATGGTGACATCATCGTCGTCATCATCATCATCACGACCACCACCATCACCACGATCTCCACCCTCATCACGATCTCCACCCTCATCACCACCAAGTTTCGCACCACAAAGTCTACAGCAGCTGGCGTGTGACTTGAAATTTTCACAATGGCCAGTGCGAACAATAAAAGGTTCCCTTTGGAACTGTTAGAAAGCTATTGCAACCATTATATAGATGGGGTTGGTCTCGTGCATACAGATGGTTATGTATACAACTTTTTGTTTGCTTGCAAACACAGGAGGTGAAAATTGTTGTGTGGAACATGTTCAATAAAATTTGACAGTTTGAAGGAGGTTGTGATTTCAGTTTTGACATGTGTTGATGTTCCGCCTAATACCTGCCTAGAGTTGCTTAACGTCCGCCTGGCGACGTGCTCGGTCAGATGGTTTCACCCGGTGTGACGAAGGGAAAATTTGGCATTCAGATCCACTTCACGGAGCCTGTTCATGCCTTCACTGAGAGTTTGCAGGGTGTCACCCTCAGGACTCAACCAGAGTTTGGAAGGTGTGATGGTATGACATTTCGGGTTTACCCAGAGTTTGGAAGGTGTCGCCAAAGGTTTGAGGCTTAACCACTGGCGCAATGAAACAACATGCAAATAAGTCATGTTGCCGAAACCGCAGGCCGCTAATGGTGACCTTGCTTAAGAGGATGGGGACATTCCATACTAAAATGAAGCTAACAACTGTATATGAATGCCGCGCCTCCTTGCTATGGGTATGGATCCCATACTGACTGCCGGTGCAGTTCTCATTTGTTGGACAAACATGGTACATATTGTACATAGTTTTTCTTCACATCCACGGCCACGGTCACTTTCTGGAGGTAGTTTGCGCATCCAAGAGCCCTGCACGTGCTTTGAGAATACCTCGATCCCCAGCCAAGAATGTCCCTTTTGAGTCGCCAGATCAACATCTAGAGGTGGGTACAAGACCCAATCTCCAGAGCGACGCCCTGAAAGGCCCAGAACAACAAAAAAGAACACGAATCTTTGTTCATTCGAGGCCGAAAGCTTCCTGAGGTTTTGCTTCATCTTGGAGATCTACATGGTTTTCCCGGTGATGCAGGGCCTCTCCTTCGACTCCCTTTGCTCAAGCCGTTGCCATCCACTCCCCTGGCCCCTGGGACAGTGGCTTCAAACCTGGGACGACTTTCGGGCTCGACATGATGGGGACATACATTGAGCCCAGACACTCGATGTATGGTATATTTTATATATATACCTACATTTGGGTGGTTAGTTTGGGCATGCATACTGTAGGCACAAAATACCATAGATGAAGTGTTTGGGAATGATTTGGAGGCGCTTGAACACCTACAGAAAATGATGTTCAGAAGCCGGCAGAGATACTGAAAAAGAAGCACAGATACAAACCTCCGTGTCGTCCTGTTTTATTTGTCAGGATCCACTAGAGTTCCTTGGGTTTTTTTGACCTCCAAGGTGGAGGTCTTTTGGAATTGGCCGAACGTGGTCTTTGGGATTTGTTGGCCTCGGTGGCCGGGCTGCTGGGTGAGGTACGAGTTTCCAACATCGGTGAGGTACATGATGAACGTTCTCGATCAAAGCGGCCTTTCTTTTTGAAGCCTTTTCAGTGCCTTTCAGCCTCAACGAGGTGCTGTGTACTGTGTTAATTACATGATATTACATGTACTACTCTTTAATCCACAAGGTCTTACAACAAGGGTCTTGTTTGGTCGCCAGTTGCCAGTCGGATCCGGGTCGCCAGTTGGATCCGGGGGCCACTCGAACATGGCCGGCTGGAGGCGGTCGGAATGCGTGGCATGCAACATGAGCTCCCTGGCGGCGAATGCGGAGAGGGCGGAGACGGGGGGTCCGTGCGATCGAGGGCGAAGAACTCTAGGGATATACATTGATCATAGTATTGACCATTAGTGGAGTCTAGATGCGTCTAGTGTCCACTGTGTGCCTAGCAAGTTTGAAAGGTGATTTCCGGAGCCAAACGATTGACAAGTGTACTATGGTAGTTGTTCTTCGTAGATGCGTTCCATCCACTGGTACTGGGAATGTACTGGGTATGTACTCCGTGTTTACTCCATGGCTGAGGCATGATGATCCTTTACCTGATGTTAGCCAGCATGCTCTTCATCGATGTTTTCATGGGCCACGTGCTGTTCACCTCTGTCGCGCCTCGAAGAAAAACGGACGCTGTGGGCAGTGCGGGCGTGGGCGAAGGGGGTTTTGAAAAAGGACTGCCTAGAAGATCCAAAGAACAGGCACAGGTCCATTTGTTTGTAGCCAACCAGTGGCTTGTGGGCGACAAGGATAGGGCGGATAGTGTGCCTTGTGGTAGATGAATCACTCCAAGCAGGCTTCCCAAAAGTTCACCTCTGCCCTGATAGATCCAACTGCACATCCAAGCAGGCTTTCGAGCCCAGTCCGACCTGACAACGGCTTTTCTGAGGTGTGAGGTGTTTCCATCCCGCTTTCAGCACATGACAAAAGGTTTGTGGTTTGCAGTTCAACCATTCATTTTGTCAAGGCATGTGATCAATCAAGATGTATATAGTGGTCCAATGATTTCGCCCATGCAAAGCCAATCTCTCGAAGATTGGCAGTGACTCAATTCAGGGGCAACTGCCCCATTGGTTGATTGGATCCATCATGGCTGTGCTTTCCGACGGATTCTGTGGCCAAAGCACCGTAAAAACCTGCTCATTCCATGCAGATTGGAATCGTGCTGGGCACCCAGAGAGGGCTCAACGGCATGCGGAAGGCGCGGCCGGCAGCGCGGGTGGGAGGCTCGTTGCAGGGAGTTCCATGCCGACCCCAACCCGCTGGGCGTTGGGAACCCTGCGTAGGGATCGCTGGCACTGATGGTGTTCCGATGACATGAACGTGACCAAAAAAAACAGGTTTCTGCATCACAGCCAAGAGACTTCAGTACGGACAGTCGGGGAAAGAGGACACATCAGTAACGAACACACAAGGCCGTTTGCGCCCCGCGAACGTGGAGAAACGAACACACAAGTCTAAACATCAACATGTTGACATCGACATCGACATGTTATGAGTTTGGAACATCAACATCAAACTTCAATATGACGTGTGTGGTGTTTCAGGTGTTTTGCTTCTTTGGACATTAAACATCAAGTCGCAGACATTAAAGTCTTGTGTGTGTGTGTTTTTAAGAGCCACCCGAGAACACCCGAGGCGCCGGACTCCGCGGTCTTCCTCTCCGATTCCAACCTGGGCGTCGGGGAGAACAATCCGCGCGCCGGGAAGCTGATGCAGTGCCTTGGAGCGAGGGGAGAGGAGGTGTCCCACACGTCCCGCACGTCCGAAGCACCGACACGAAGGGGTCGTGTGTTGGGTCGCCTTCAACCGGGGTCGGTCTCCTGGTGTCATGAACAGCATGAACTACAGCCAGATAGAGATGGAGGTTTGAGACATCCTGCATAATGACATAGTGCATAACCCCCAAAAAAACAAAAAGGACACATGCACACAATCCTCCCACAGTTCTGGTGCAACACCCAGGCGAGTCTTCGGAAACGGATGGCGACACACCTGGAATTTGATTTGCAGCTCGGTGGGAAGGAGCCTAGAAGCCAGCCTGCCTGGCACGAGGAAGAGACCTTGGTGACTGAACGCCGCTGAACGCTCCAGTTTCGTGGGAATCCACCAGATCCGCGGTTCATGGACCTCGCGGATGGGCTCAGAATTGTGGTCCGCTTGTAAGTTGTGCTCACGGTGGTGCTGAGCGACCCCCCCCCAAAAGAAGCTGAGCAAGGGATGGTTCTGACAAGATGTGCTTCTGTTTCAGTTAGTTGCTAATTATTTGGGGTCTATGCCGGTGAAATTGTTTATATAATCTTGTTCAATCCATAATCCACGTCGATCAAATGGCTTGTATATGGAGGACATGACTGCTTTTCACCATCACTCGCAGCAGTCGGCACCATCACTCGTTGCAGGGCACTGAGGATTTGTTTTCAGGTTGGACATGGGACGTCCTAGTAGCGTCCTTGCTCCTGCCCTTTGTTCCTAGTAGCGACCTTGTAGTAGCGTCCCTGTATTGCGGCAAGGTCCAACGCATGATGAGTTCCAAAACTGTGCGGTCCGCCTCAGTGGCACAGTTCAACTGACCCCTAGCAGTTCAACTTGCCACGTGAGCTTTCCTGGTCATTGGTATGTTAGTTCAAAATGTACTCGAGGATGATACGGATGCGTTTGTACTCCAAAAGTTGTTCGCTATGACATATTCAGAAGCGCAGTTAGACGACTACTACCATGCCACCCTAGACCTAGATATGTGATGGCATTGGGTTACACCACCCAGGAGTGCCGTTAACAAAGCCCCCCCTCCCAACGAAACATGGACCATGAAAAGGGACCTTTGATGTACCCCTGAAAGATCATGTTCAGACTCACTTCTTGGCTGTCTACCCGCCATTCCTCCAATTCTGATCGAGTACTTCAGCTTCGCGAAATATTTGCCGAAACGGCCGAGGCTATCGTTTGTGGAAGGAGGACCTCCTGAGCAGTGCTGAGGCGGATGAACTCATGCAGATGGCCTCCAAGAGCAATTCGGAGCGATGAACGCATGCTGCACGTGCTCAGTTTGGCGGTGACAAAGAAGTAAAGGAAGACTAGTTGGTGTCGTGGGGGTGGAAACTCCAGCTGTCGGAGGAATCCTTGTAGTGGGGATGTTTATATATGTGTTTCTTCTTTGCGTTCTCTTTGCAAAGCTGTAACCGTAACCGTTTGTTTGTGTGAATATTGAAGCGAGGAGTGCTTCGTACGGAAACATTCAAGAGGTTACACTAAAAAAAAAAACAAAAAACAATCAATAAGTAAGAAATATATAACGGTTGCCACTTCTTGGTTGATTGATACTGTTGATTGCAAATGGACTACTGTAGTCTTTCAATTACCTTTTGTTACTGATAATCAGCATGTGTTGGAGTTCTTCTTGTGAACACATCACCACAGAGTGGTAACTCCCTCATTGGACCATAATGGTGACAGGTGGTGGGTGACCATAGGGTTCTAACGTGCAAGAATACATTATCATGCGATGAATATTAAGAAACACTTATATGCAAAGACTGTTGTTGTGATACATTACTGCAAATTCACGGTGTGTTGACTTATTACTCCCTCATTTAGAAGTGATTGGCTGGTACTTACCGCCCAAGAACTAAGCTGAGGATGTTGCCGCCAACTTGTCTTGTCTTGAAGTAAATGCCCCCCAACAGCTTTTTGGGCATAAGACTGTACATTTGTGTGGATCTTATTCCCGGTTGTTTCAAAAGCCGATAACGTGTGCTTCTGTGACTCGAGCATCACTCTTTTTTTCCAGGAGAAGAACCTGTAGCCGGCTCTAGCTTTATATGTATTTTTGGTGGGTGACTGGCTCTCCAGGAGAAGAACCCGGATGCTCCCGTCTATCTCCACACATTGCACCCTGTGGTTCGTGAGCGCTTCACTTTCTTCTTCGCCTCTCTCCGCCACTCGGCCGGGGCGTGGAGGAAAGGACAAAAAACCATTGGTCGAATTGGGATATTGATGGTCCATGCATGGTGCCCTGCTGGGAGCAGAATTGAAGATGTACAATGTCGAAATTGTGTTAGGCCTTAGGTGTTCAGGTTAGGAGGGAGAGGACTTTTCTCTTTTTGCATGGACGCACGGTCACGGTTGGTGATAGTTCCGGTTCTGGTTTGACCCAAGGTAGGCAAGCCGCCAAGCCTTGCTGTTACTGTCTTTTTCTTTATCCACCGTCCCCATGAAAGCGCTCGATGTGCGGGTCCTGCGCCCTTGCTAGCTTTTTGGGTGCCGATGAGACATCGCCGAAGACAGCCTTTCGCTCGCTCGAAAGACGGGTGCCAGCCTGGTCTTGGTGGATGCCAAACACATGGCACGCCGAAGACGTGGTGGAAAAGAACGGGATCTATAGAGCTTCAAGGAGTCTGCAATCCAATCACTACTGCCGCGATCCTGGTATTTGCCCGCTTGTTTTGTTTTAGGAATTCCAAGTACATAGTTGGCTCTCTCACTGGTGGCAGTGTTTTGTTCAACCGGGAGGTGGAGGATATCCTCCCATCGCACGGAGGCACGATTTGTGAGGATCGCCTTCGAATGGAGGAGACGAGCACTCTGGCGCGAGCGAGCACTCTCGCTCTCTTATTGCGGGATGGGTTCTCTCAGGAACTCACTCTCCAATTCCAAGCCCAACACAATCCGGCCACAAAGCAAGTAGTTAACGGCGTTAACGGCAAATAACCCACACCACGATATAAGATATATATATATAATATGTATAATATATATATATATTATATATACACAGTATATACATCAATGTAGGCTTTGTCAGAGATGGTCCAAAATGCAAGGTATAGACATGGACAAGAAACCAAGACTCAAGAATCACTCACCAGTCCAAGCCAGTGTTCCTTTAGGGCATGTGTAGGGAATGGTTAGCTTCACATTCTGTGACCATTCTTCATGTGAGAGTAGTTCCTTTGCTTTTGTGTGCCCAAAACAGTTGAAAGGGACCTTATCAAGGCCATGGAAGCCTTGGCTGCTACTTGTAAATCCTCTCCCAAACATCACTTCATATATGGCTTGCTCCAGACAACTATCTTGAAGTTCGGCACCCTAATTAAAGTGGTCCTAATCAGCCCAAGAATCATGGTCCCACAGGGAAAAGACCAACAACATCACCCCCCAAAAGAACCAGCAGCCGGTCAATTGGACCCGCATGCATTCCAAAACGTGGACTCCTCCGCGAGGAGAATCCTCCGATCTCCCACCATGGCATCTTCCGCACCCATGACATCATGCCGCTCTCCCAAGTTCTCCCTGCGGTGAATGAGGAGGCCGCGCCCATGCGCGTGTCACGGGGGGGCCCGTGGCGCGATGAAGGCAGAGCGAGTCGCTCAAGAGCGACCCAAAGCGGTTTGGATTATGGTGGGGCAGCGACCTTGGTCGCGCGGTCTTGCGTAGCTGTTTTTGAAGAAGACCTTTGGCTTCAAACGCAGGAATTCTGTTGGAGCATGGTCTCATGATGTCGCTTGTGCTTACTCCGGCAGACACCTGTTGGCCGCACCAGGTGATCCTGCAAGATGGCTTCTTGACCGCGCAGAACGGCGCCAATCTGCGGTGGATCATCATGAAGTACCCCAAGGATCCACCAACATATTCGAGCATTCTCACTTTAGGCCATGAGCAGATTGGCCAAAATGAACCTATCGGCTATAGATCTTTGTCGTTGTTGTTGTTGTTGTTGTTGTTAGAGACAAAAACAGCTGCCCAACATAGTTGTCACATGTTGCAAGTCAGGGATTTCAAAGGGACACTGTTCGGGATAGGGTCGAAGGTTTGGAGAGATGTCAGTAGCTGGACTTCTTGTCGTTGTGGTACTCAAGTCTTGGTTGCCCTGTTTCTTGTTTTTTGATGTTTTTTGGGATGTTGTTCTGGAGCGGGGGGATCAAAAAACAACAACGGGGCTGTAGATTTTGTTTCTAGGGGGGGTAGAGACAACAACATCTTCTGAGGGGGGGGTTCAAAAAAACAACAACAGGGCTGCAGTTTTTGTCTCTAGGATGTGGTAGAGGTTCTAAGTAGAAGTTTTACAGAAGCTTAGCTGACCGGACTACCACCACCACCACCACGACGACTACTACTACTACTACTCCTGCTACTACCACTACCACTACCACTACGACTACGACTACCACTACTACTACTACTACTACTACTACTACTACTACTACTACTACTACGACTATGACTACGACTACGACTACGACAACGACAACGACTACTACTAGTACTAGTACTAGTACCACTATAGTATAGTACTAGCACTAGTACAAGCACTACCACTACTGGTAAAAGTACATGTTGGCTGGTTGTTTTCGGGGGGGGTCAAAATAACAACGACGGGGTTGCACCCCCTTGTAGAGACAAAGGAACAAGATATCTTGTAACGGGGCTGCAGTTTTTGTACCTTGTTGTTTGTTGCAGTTTTTGTTTGTACCTTGTTGTTTTTTCGAGTGGTTGACTTTTTGGTTGACGTTTTTAAATTTGTTTGTTGAATTTTTGGAGAATTTTTTTTTTATTGAGCTTGACTTTTTTGAATTTGTGTTCGACTTGTTTTTTTTAGATCAAGGATTCTGGCCTTACCATATGAAAGATTTTTTAACTCTAAAGGAAGACCGTCGTGCGGATGCTGGTGGATGAATCATGATGAATCTATATGGACATGCCTATATGCTCCATGTATGTTCTTGGTGGTGATTGTAGGTCATATTGACTCACATGGAGCATTGGGGATTCCATGTACCGTGCCAGAAGTAAATGTGGGCCGGTGGGCCCCTCCACTTGCTCTGCTGAGGAAAAACATGCACTTCATTAAAGAGTCACGCATTGCAGAAATGTGTAGTCTAGTCCGTGATTTTGTCTTTACTATACATCCACTTCCAGTCAAAAATATCAAGAACCTCCAAAACTCCAACAAGACCTTCGAGGGTGCAAGAAGACCTGTAGAGTTTGGATGGGTTCGGATATACCCGAACAGATAATATGTTTCTCTTCCAAAAGGTCCAATTCGCTTAGATCTGCAGCTGTGGCTGCACAGTTTGGGCAGGAGTGGCAGCGCCTGACCGCACGCTTGGCCGAGAGCAACTTGCTGCTGCGAAGCTTGAACTGCATGAGGAGGATGAGGACGCCTTTCTTTGGATCATTTTCTGACAAAGAATGAATTTTACAGTTTCTTGGAGATTATGTCAGGTTATGTCAGGTGGATCAAACTGTTTGTCCAGTGGTACGCGAGTAGACAGCAAGTTGCTTGGGAGAGATCAAGCCGGTTCTCTTTTGGCAGACTCAGGATATTTGGGCAAGGCCCAGCCGGGTGTGAGCGATAAGACGCGCATCGAAGTTCGACTGTGGGCGTCGATGCGATCACAGACAGTGATGAGAACCGTGCAGGGTGCTGTTCCTTGGCCGCATGGAACAAGGGGTCGTGAAAATGAATATAGCAAAGAAGACAAAATAGCAAAGAAGATATGTTTGTATAATTTTGGTCGGTTCTTTGTTGGTTCGTGTGGAAAGGTCAAGGAACCTAAATGCCTAGATGTGGGGTTCTATCTCTTTCGGTGGTGAAGGCTAGTTAGTTAAGCTAAGATAGCTATTTGAGAGCAACCAGGATTAGCATTGATGCACCACTCCCCACAAGGAATTAACCGAGCTTCCTGCTTTCCTTTCAACTCTCTGCACCTCGACAATGAAGATCGAACCGGCTTTTCCGCAAAGTGCCCAGTAGCCGATGCGTTGTGCCACAACATGAAGTCCAAAGATCATCAAAGATCTCAAAACTCTAAAGGCTCTCGACGTATCTCCGTACTCAAAACACCATCCAAACACCGTGCGGCTCGATCAAAAAAGAGGCTCCTCGACCCGTTCCCGTTCGGGCGAACCCGCCAGCGAGGTGAACTATCACATCGCGTTGGAAGCCAATCCGACGATCGTGTGACTCGACACATCCGGCTGCCAAGTCTCGGTCGGTGGCGTGAAACGCCCAGCGGACCATCTGAAGAGGCCCAGACACCGGGTGCGACCGCAAACCCGGGTGCGACCCATCGGTGTCTTTGACCCGGGTGCATGGATCGACCCATCGATGGGGACCCCGAAGAACATCAAAAAAGGCCATTCAGCGACCCATTCTGGGAGGGCACTCGGAAAAAAGAGAGGGAGTGGTCGTGTTCAAATCGGTCATCCTGCGTTAAAGATGGAATGCAATTGTCAACAGAAGCTGATTTGGAGCGGCTTGAACATGTGGGTGAAGTGAAATCACATTTTGAGTAAAACAACTCTACTATACGGCCTATTCTGAGGATGTTCTGGTGGAATTGCATATACTGTATACAGTATATTATATATACGCATAACAATTACACACCTGTGTATATAATATATGAAGTTACAGGTGCTTTTAATTTTTGTGTCTTTCGTTGTCCTTTCTTCTGAGCATATCTTCCCTATATTAGCTTTTTTTTTTGCAAACATGTCCAAGTATTCTTTTGTTGGCTCGACACTGATGCAGTTCAGTGTCATTTCATAGAAAAGGTGAACAACAAAAAAACGCTTCATACACCACAGAACTTGACCTGGTCGTTTCATAGACCCATTTGCCCATTTGCCAGAGCTTTTTTGTGGCTTCAGGTTGGTCACCTCATTCTATGGATTTGCGCGGTTTGTAAGTTTTTTGAGAGCCGCGGTTGGCCATCCCATTCTAAAAAGATGTTCTGTTCTATGAAATGCTTCGTAAACCCACCATTAACTACTTTGTTCGCCAGGTATACGTGTCAGGTTGTTGGGCCTGTGGATTATTTTTTTTGCGAGGTTTATATATTATGTATGTATACGTTTGGTCATTGATAGCAACCCCCCCAAGTTCTGATCGCATTAGACTAGAAGATCAGCGCAGAGATGAATGTCATCCTCAAACACCGAGAAGAGAACTTGGTGTCCCGGTGCTCCACTCAAGACGCTGAAAGATATAGGTCTTAGGTCCTTATTGCATTATAAAAGATACCTCGATCCCATATGAATGGTCCCCATGCAATCCTTTTCTGGCAGGTGCTGGGATTGGCGCCCAGGATCCGAGAATCCCCGCCCAGGTCGCCCCACAGCACCATCTCCAAGCGACAACAACTGGAGAAGTACGTGGAACTGGTGCGCTTGGTCTCGAGCGGGGAAGCACGTGGGCGTAGGGCGTAGGGGGGTTTGTCTCAAGAGATGGGGACGAGAGTTTTATAGATCAATCAATTAACTGGTGCTTATATTCCCTCATTCCCTACTAAGCACCAGTCAATCAATTTCAGCTCGCATCTGTCCAAAATTCACCTATACAGGTCTTTATCTTGGTGCTGAACGACGAAGGACATAGCTTTCAGTTATCGCCTCGTCTAACGATGTGTGAAATCCGTATTTGAATGAGGTTCTATGCAATGCTGCGACGGTGTTCCTAAGAGTTTGTCAGAAGCCAGAGCTGTGGATCCAACTAGTTGATAGCCATGGCTGGTGTTTTTTTGTTCGATCGCCATGGTTGAATGTTGATTGTTTTGGGGGGACCGCAGGTGTGGTCTCATCAGACCCATGGAGAAGACAACAAGAAAGACAGCCACTTGGCAGAGAAAGAGGATGAATATTTACAGTGGATTGAGAGTAGATGGCACAGACCCCAAGAGGTGGTTTGTATGAACCCCCATGTAAAGAACTTGTTTTTTCGGTCTGTGCCATCTACTCTGATGGCCTGGTAGGTTGCCGTCTACCGTCAGGGTGTGTCGATGTGGTTTCTCCAATCGACCTTGCGGTCGTCATGGCAATTTGAGGGATTGTATTGAATTGGCAGCTATCATTCAATGTGTGTGTTCAGTGCAAGAGATTGGTGGAGAATTCCTCGGTCCTACACTGTATCTGGACGCATCTTGACGCTGTTCATGCTGACCTAAAAGGAACATCAAAGCTTACAAGTCCTTAAGCCAGCAGCAGATTCATGTTGGTTGATGTCCAGTCCAAGGTTTCAATCATTAAAATTGTATGATTGTATGACTTTGCATGTCCCTCACACAATTGGCCCAATTGGCTGAAATTTGGCTTTGTGACCGAAGTACAGCACCTGTTCTTGTCCAAAGTCCGAGCACCAGCAGCAGCGCTGGCAGTTCGATTCCCAAAGAACATGCCGGTTGTGCCGGGTGCGCCCGACGCTGCGCCGCTTGACCACCGAGCGGTGACCACGGGTGCGCGGTGGCCGCTGTGAACCAGGTGATGTGCGCCGCTTGTTGGGCCTCTATGAGGAGAACCCGACGTGCAGAGCACTCTGTTGCGCTGTCCCTCAAGCGGCGTGGTACTTCGGGGGGCGGAGGGTGAAGCACTCAGACTGGTACGGGGTTCGGGTCGTAGGTTGGCTAAGATATAAGATTATCAAGATATCCATTTGCCCGTCCATTGTAAGGCGAGCAACAAATTGAATGATCAATTCAGGACGATCAAATCATATCAAATCATACTCTCCTTCCAAGTGGCCCGTTTCAAAAGCGTTCAATATATGGCTTTGCTCTTCAAGCATCAAGCATGCAGCATCTTTCTGCGGGCGTGTATTGGCGGGGGGGGGGTCGCCAGTGGGGTCACCATCTTGCAATACACACCCACCAAGACTCATACTACCAAGACTTTCTCCTCCTATCAGTAGTGAGACTCACTACTACCAAGACTCATCACGCCTTCGTCGACCACAGGCCAATCGGTCGCGTTGCGTTCATCGACCTGTCCGACAACTCGTCCACTCGTCGACCGATTCGCCATCGGTCCAGTCGAGTCCAACGAAGGCCGCCTCGATGGCGACATTCGCTCCGACATCGGATGGCGATTCCTCGCCCCAAAAAAAACATCTTCCGAAACAAGCATTTTGTTTGAATTCCACTTGAAGATTGCCGTGACCATGGGATGTAACAAATTTCACAGCCACAAAGACATGAACAGAACATTCCGCAGGGTTTGTAGGACTATCACCCAAAAACGACGGACTATCTCAGCTAGTATACCACTCAGCATGACAGTCCACAGGAGAAAGCACTCCCCCAAAAGGACCGAGTCCCATCCTGTCTTGGCAAAAAATGTGGTCTTCGACCTAGTGCCACTCAGCAGGACTATCCCATCTACTTGGTCTTCGACTTAGACATGGTTCATCTCACCACTTTGGACCGGAAGATCATGGGCCAGATGGTCCGCCGCCGACTGCGGCACGCCGCTGCGAGTGAACAAGATGGGCGCGTGCTGGGCTCTGCTGGGGTGTTCTGTGGGGGATTTGAATTAGCCAACCCCGAAAAAAAGAGGTTGTCCTTGGATTCCTATGACTTTAGTTGCTCAAAAAGCACCTTATGATTCTGCCAATCAGTTCAAACTTGAGAAAACCGTCACCCACGGCCGCCACGGCCCGTCTCCGACTTCGCCCAGACGGGTGACTGGTCCTACCAAAGCCACTGGGTACACTCCTTGGAACCAACATGGTTACGTGGAAGGCACCCCCCCCAGTTGGGTATTCGGATTTCGTGAGTCATCCGAAGGTGTCCCAGGTGTCCCCCGTGCCATCCATGTAACCATGTTAGTTCCAGCAAGTGGGACTGGTGGGACTTGGTAGTGGGACTGGTCGAGGGAGAAAAAACCTCAGGTCGACATGTCGTGCGTCGGGCGAACCGAAGGATGGTGCCTAATTTCAGACAACTAATTTACATGGACATGTATATACTAATCCTAGGATCTCCGTGACAGTCATTGAATTCAGTATATGTTGTTGTTGAACAGCGACGCTGCCGGTTTTGTTACTGAGCTGCCAATCCATTTTCCTGCCAATCCAACTGCGAGGGAGAAACTTGCCCAGGAGATGGGTGTGCCGGATGAATACTTTGATGACACCCACTTCTTTGACCACTTCCCCTACATGTCCTGCAAGGCAAACAACGCATCGGAATCGGCGTCCGTTTTGGGGGTGGTGCGATTTGTTGAATCTGACATTGAGTAATAAGCAATTCGTTGATGCTATTGGTTGGTGCTAACGTGAAGGACGTGTTTACTGTAAGATTGTTTAAGTTTTCTTTCTGTAAGTTTTTTTGGTAACATGTCCTTTCTGCTTCTGGAAGGCAATTCCATTTGACCTTTCTTGCAGCTGGAGCTACTACCAGTTACACGTGTTCAATGGCTATAGCATGCTATAGCTATTCTTTTGCAATATCAATATGGTCTTAGTTGTAACTAAACCATTTTCTTTGCCTGGTCAGGCCATGTATAAGAAGAGGCCCTTGTTGGAAGAGCGTCGCAAGCTCATCCGGGACTGGCGGCGCGAGCGACCTGCCTCACCATGCGAAGAAAAAGCAAATGTGAGGTCATCACATTATCTGAGATTGGTCAATTCCAATCCTCACATCACCCCCAATACCTTTAGTTTGTCGGGGTGTCTCAATTAAGGGTAGAATGAATGATGAAAGAATTCTGGTTCAGGTATGTGTTCCTCGTGGGAAAAAGGACTGTTCATTCCAAATGCACATACTTGTCCTGTTACCATGGCCTGGGCATGGTCACCCAGGCCGTGGGAGGTGTCGATGTTGGTGATGGTCATCCAGCAGTGTTTGCTGACAACACGGCCCCAGAACAAGCTCCGTTCGATGAACATGTCAGCCATATGTCACCCATCCATACCAGATTGGTCAATTCCAAGTGAGGCTAAGCAAGTGACCAACTGAGACTCTTTGGGGATCATCGATTCAGATGCGGTCGAACGTTCGTTCTCAGCATGCGGACGCTACAACCGCTCTAACCGCTTCTGGAGCCATCGATTTGTTTTGGCCGAACAAGAACCCATACGGATGGAGTCCAATTTTATACATTGCTTTAAACATACATATATATATATAATAATAATTGTATTATATTGTACAATTGCGGCATACATATACAGAACGGGTGCTCCTGGCAGATGTTTTTGATGCAACAAATGATGCAAATACACTGTGTTTTACAGTGATTTCTTGCAAAATCCTCTCCAAAATTGAGGTTTTGAGCTATTTTTTTGATCAATTTTGTGAGATCCAAGCCTATCCCAGTTTAGAGGGAATACCAAAAAAACAATAAACCAATAAACAAACATTGTTTTTTTGTTGTTTTTTGCTTTTTGGTTTATTGTGTTTTTGTGTTTTTAGTATTCTCTCTAAACTGGGATAGGCTTGGATCTCACAAAATTGATCAAACAAATAGCTCAAAACCTCAATTTTGGAGAGGTTTTAGCCAAAAATCAATGTAAAACACAGTGTTTTTGCTTCATTTAAGTTTAACGGTGTAATTTGATTTTAAATTGGATTTCAATTGATTTTGGTATTAGACTTCAATTAAACCGCTTTCAAAACTATTGGTGGAAGTTGATTTCTCATTAGCTTTCTATTAAAAATGTGTCTAAGATTAATTGTGGATTTTTTGCAAACTAAGTTTCATTTATATCATGTTCAAAATCATTGGGAAAATTGATTTTTATATTAGGTGTCAATTGACATTTCTTCAAGATTAGTTATAGAAAAATGAATGTGTAATTCAACTTTGATTAAATTCCTTTTCAAGATCATTGTGGCAATTGATTTTGAATTAGATCTCAATTAAAATCCTATTATACGTCATTGTAGAAATTAGTCATTACTTAAATGTCAATTAAAGTCCTTTTCAAAATCATTGTGGAAATTGATTGCTTGTTGTTTAGATTTTAGTTTAATTTCTTTTCAACATAATTTGATTGAATTGCTTGTGTATTGGATATCAATCAACACCCTTTTAGAATTGATTGTGGAAATTAATTTTCAGTTAGTGGTGGAAATCAATTCTTATAATTAGATGTTAGTTAAAGTCCTTTTATTTGATGTTGCCTTGTAGTGGGGAGCAAACAGATACAAAATCAATTCAAGTTAGTTAAGCATCACAATTTCCACAATTAATCTTAAATCGATTTTACACACAATCTGATATTAGATCAAAGCCACCACTAACTTTGAAAAGGACTTTAACTAAAATCTAATTGTAAGAACTAGTTTCCACAATGAGTTTTAAAGAGAACTTGGCAAGGATTTTTATTGCAATCTAATATCCAAAAAAATAGCAATTTCCACAATCAATGTTAAAATGATCTTGATTGAAATCTTCTAATTTAAGTTTACCTAATTCTATTTTAATTCGAGTTTAATTAGTTTAAGAAAACACATGTTACAAGACCCTATATTTTACCTTTACAGTGTTTTTTTGCCCTAGGAGTGCTGGGAATAAGACAAAAACTATGTTTTTGAGTAGATAGTATTTGTTTAAAGTAATCCCTCGGAATAATCATTGCTATATTAAAACTGCTTTATGTACAAGCTTCTAATTCAAAAGGTTCCCTCTAGATCTGATCACTTCTGTGAAAAAAAACATATAAAGCTTTCATTTCAAAAGCTTTCCTCTGGATCTCTGGAAATAGTCATGGTATTTTAAAACAGCTATAAGTATGTATGTAAGTGTTTCTTTCAAAAGCTTTCAAAAATCTAGGAAATCTGCTTTCCCAGAGATCCAGAGGAAAGCTATTGAATCTAGAGATGTATAGTACTATATCTTCATTAATTTGCTCATGATGCTACGTACATTCATTGTGGGCAGAGAGAGATTTACCTGATAATATTTATCATCGGTGTTGCACATTGATAGTGGGCAGACGAAGAGCTGTTATTTGTTGTCATTGACATTGGACATGGAGACTGGGCACAGACAGATCGAACAAATTGCGTTTCGCCTAGTTCTCAGAGCAGTTTTTGAAATTTTGCACGGTATTTACAGTGTTTTCTAAGGGTTTTGAGCTAGTGCGTGCTCTCCCACGCACACCCGGTATATCCAAGTATACCGAATATTTGCATGTGGCTACGGTTGTAGGATATAAGAATTCCAGCAGTATGAGTGCATTTGCCCTTTTTCACTGTCCAAATCTCTGGCAGGAGCTTGAGCTTAGCAATCTGGATGGGAAGTTTATCGCCTCCCAGGCAGCCTGGGAAAGAGGAATTTGATGAGTTGACCCGCTCGCGGCTGGTGTTCCATCCTCTCATCTCTTTTGACGGCCCTGTCGTTTTTTGTTTCCATCTTTGGATTGGACAAAGAACACATGAAGTGTCCTAATTGTGCAAGACTCTCCATATCATGTGTATCTAAGGAGTTTATTCTTTCAACAGCCAGGGAGGAATCGCTGTGGTTCACAGGTTTGATATGTGTCGAGATGCTGGATTTTTTGGGGGATGCGTCTGAAAGCAACTTCACAGATTGACCGTGTTTGGAAATCAGACGTGCCAGTGCTTGTACGGTTTGGTTATTCAGTTCAGGTCGATGATCTCAAACCAGAAGGGCTCTGGGTTGTTTCTGTGTGACCCACCCTGCGCAACCCTTGCACATGTCTCTAGCAGTGGGTCGAACTCTCTCAGGTGGCTTTAGCATGCTTTAATTTAGCTAGCTAGTGTGCAAAATTGTTGAAGGGCAACATTGTGCACCGCATATCGCGCCGTTCGGTTGAATTACGTAGCCAAGGAAAGGGGTTTGCCATGTTTTGCCCTCAACTATTCATCAGAGAGGTGAATCCATGTCTTGGATCCTGCATCCTGACATCCATGTTGACGTCCCACGGACAATTGAGTCAATTGACATGGAACTTTCCTTTGATGTTGCAGGATTGATCCAATGATGTGCCACCGGTTCGAAGAGGGGGCTACGCTCTACGCTAAGCTAAACCCGCCGCCCGCACACCGATGAAAGTTCGTCGGGTGGCTCAGCCGGTCCAGGACCGGTCCCGCCGCCCGAAGGTCGAAGCCTTCGACCCGACCAGCGTCTTGAACTTGGAACTCATGGAGGCGGCGCACCTGACGGAAGACATACCAAGGTCAAACAGGGCGGAGTGCTCTGACGAAAGGAAGCGGGGCATAACATATTCTTCTTTCATATTGACACATATTGACAGTTGATGATACCGTATCATGAATGAATACCATGTCACTTCTACCAAACCGCCCAAACAACTGCCTGCCCCGCAAACGGGCGTCCCAAAACGTCTCCTTTCCTCCCACCAGCGGGAGGCGATGCCGCGGCGCTTGCCACTGATGATCGGTAAGAACAAAGGAGAGTGGACCGAGGGGGGGACGGACCAGGTGAGCGAACTTGATGGACCCAAAGGAGTCAGGTGGAGGCCAGGTCGTCTTGAATTGCGATGGACCGGTCTGGTGCAAGAGGGAAGAAGATGGGAGATGGTTTCTGCAGGAAACTGGGGGAGTGTTGAGGGGAACGCCAAGAGAATTCCCCGGTTTTGACGTGCCAAATGTTGATGGTTTTGTGAATGATACTTTGTCGATACTTTGTCAATGTAAATTGGTTCAATATGGTGCAGATTGGTGCAGAACTGTCAAGGGATTTGGCAGCTTGGTGTGTGTGCACCAGATGTTGACCTGACGTTGTACATGAGATGCAAGTGTCCTTAGGTGGTAAAGCCCTGCTTAGGGCCTAGGGGCTTGTAACTGCGGTAAGTAATTAGTTGGCCGTGAGTGCTCAGCCGATGCACCACAAAAGCGAACGTGCCATGCTCGCGGTGCCAGGCTCGCGGGGGTGAGATAGAAATCCGATGAATCCATGTTCGCCCCGAGACCGCGCCGCCCAAGACCCGTGTTCGTTCTGTTGTTCAGATTCTTAAGAGTACTTTGCCCCCCCACTCACACAGACACACACAAAAAAATGGAATAATGAATATTATATATATATATAAGACAACTAGAGTAAAGGGTGCGAGTTGCACCAGTGCTTGATGCGACTCGTAGTGAGTGACACGAAGAAAGGTCGCACCCATTTTGTAGGGATTCCCAGCAGTGTTGCCATGGGGATCATTCTGTCTAGTCTAGCCTGTTTTCTCCACAAAAGGGGTGCTTTTGGGATGCGGGGTGTGCTTAGAAGTCGAAGAAGGAGAGGCCAATATACTGTCAGAACCACCTGTTTTTTTGAGCACAAAATGGCAGGCCTATAGTGATGCCCAGATATGTTTAACAGTCAAGAGCTTGGCAACCATTCCAATGAGATGAGTCCCTGAAAGATTTACCTTGCAACAGCACTAGTAGAGTCATTGGTTTCTCTCCAATATACGAGGAGAAGGACATCAAAGCAGTCTGGGAGCGATGTTTGGGCTATGCTAGCTTCAGATGTGGGTACCATGTATGTGCCATGCACGTGCCAGGGGGGTTGCTATTCAACGCACTAACATGTACTTCACAGGTCTGTTGTCTCTTTGTGTCTCCTTGTTTGTGCCTTCTTATGCGTTGTTTTTTTTCCAACCAGCTTTCCCTAGTCAGTCAATCCTGGATCGGAGGTTTTGCTGCCCAATCTCGTACTGGTAAAACAGCCAACACCTAATCAAACACCCGATGTTTCATTGCTCAGCTCTTCCTGGCAACGTTTGCAGGAAATCTCACGCAGGGCAAGGCTGGAAATCAATTGATGGCCTTGCGCTTTTGCAAGGGCTTTGCTCTTCAGGCAGGAGAGCTCCGCAGAGGGCAGAGGGCAGGCTCCGCAGATGACACACAGCAGGCGAGTGTTGGCGACTTTGAACTTTAACCAACATCAGGATCTTTTATTGCTCCACAACCAGAGAATACAGAAACATGCAGACAGAAGTTCCCTTGGTCAAAACAAATGCTGCTGGGACATGTTTTAGTGCCAGAGAAGGCCTCAATGCAATAAACATTAACACCCACTTCCAGAAGAAAGTCTAATTGGGTTATATAAGTCTGTTTTCGACCCTATGATGCTAAATTGTACACATGACCCGAGTGCTTTCACTTCTTAATATTATATTTAGATTGTTATTTTGTCCAGCGCACCTCGGCGGGTGCAAAGAGCAGTCAAGGACCATGCAGGTGTCTATTCGGCAAAGCAGAGGAAGCTCAGTTCAAGCGCAGCCTGAATTGTCCCCAATTTTCCCCTTGTACAAACAGTAGCATGATGGCTGTGCATTTCGTCTATCAGAGCCCAGTCTGGAGATTCTTTGGGTCCTAGGTCGTAGGTATGCAGCATACAGAACCAATGTCCAGGGGAGCACTTCAGCAATTTCCAATGCGCTTGGCCGGCAACAAGATCAACAAGCAAGAACACCTGTTATGAGAACTGTTTAGACAAAGACATTTGAGCTTTTCTGATATTTTGATGAGTTCCAGGCATCGAATTTCAAGTTCCAGGCATCGAACATTCCAGCGATCTTGCACCCAGAAACCATGCCTCATGAGAGTGGTATGGGGATGGGGTTGGAGTTGACATGCTTTGTGGTCATGAAAAATCACCATTGAAATACCATGCTTTGCTTGTCATGGTTCGTTTGGATCATGACATGCTCCTATTTGTTCACTGACATACCAAACCAGTTTTTAGATGAACATTTACTCACAGTGAACCTCGCCCCGGCAACGTTTGACCGCCGACTTCTTTGCGCGGACGAACTATATACCGCAGCCACGCCCGGATGGCAGGCGATGGATGCCAACATGGGTTCCTTCATCGGAGAAGCCTTTAAGGTGCCCACCCGGCACCCGGCACCATCACGGTGTCACCAGCACCGGCGCCCTGCGTTTCGCAAGCACGAAACACGGTGCGAGTGCGCGTGTGCATGCACAGGTGTTTTTAAAGAAGCCCAGCTTCTGAAAGGCATGGAGCTTGGAGGCTGAAAAAGATTTGTTTCGAGAATCAGCCACTGACCTTGGACTCTCTCGACAAATCTTGACAAGCTTACATTCGGGGAGGTGAGTAAGGCACTGAAAAATGTCCAGGCTGGTACCAGTCTTCTAGTCCCTAGGAGCCCTAGGGAGTCTTCCTTTTTGGTTCTAGGAGGGGCGTTCCTTATAACATATAGCTTGAGGAGTAGCTTGAGGTTAACCATGGCTAACCATGCTCACCTGTTCAAGCACCCATTATGAGGTCCAACCATCAGTTCTCCGCACCCTAGACATGGCTCAATGCGTTGGATCACCAAGACATTGACCACTTGAGCCAACTCCCATCGCAGAGGAGCCATTACTTCCACCAGGCCATTACCGCATTAGCTGATGCTCGTTTCGTCGGCAGACGGAAATCGCCTCCAGGTGATTCGCGAAAGAAGGACGACGGAACCGACGCGACGTGTCGTTCTCCTCACGTCGTGCGTGGCCCGGAGGGTGAGCTGCCACCGCTTCGACCGCGAAGCGGTGCCGCAGGTGCCCATGGTGCTGAAGCGCTTCCAACCGCGGGGCAGCTCCCGAGACGTGGTCACCGCCAGGAGCGGGACGGGGGGTGAGGGACTGTCAGTGGTGGCCGTAGTCCCGAAGGCAGCGAAAGTCGGAAGGACGTTGGAACAGTGTTGGATTGGATGGACCAGTGAGTCAGGCTCTGACTCATAGTTGCCTGATGGATCGGTGCGAATCAGTGCTGGCTGGCCGAATTCTTCTGTTCCTTGTTTATCTCGTGGGTGAGGGAGAGTCTTGGCTATAAACCTTGCCCGGCATAGTCTTGGCAGCTGGGCAGAGGAGGTAAAGAAGGCCCTCCCCATTTGAAGGCTTTTGGTGCGCTGAAGGTATTCCCTGTTCAATCTATAAATCTGTGGCCTCACGTCCTAAAAAGTGGAAGTTCTAAAAGACAAAGAGACTTTAATGCTTGTCCTCCACTGCTCCACTTCTCATTTCAAATCCCCTCAACGTTGACCGAGTCCGGACACGCTCCGAACACGAGTGGCTTCCGCGAGGCTGATCGGCTTCCGCGAACACATCTTCACCGTGGCCCATGGCATTTGTGGCGCCCGGTGGCCCGGGGCCGTTCGACGCCGTTCACCGGTGGCCCGCACGAAGGTGTATGGTTGCCGGTACTGGTACATGTACCTGAAGACCCAGTTGACCCATGAACACCTCAAGACACAGGCCACCCATCTACAGATTCGAACACATCTACAGTACAGAGCCTTGCAGAATTCACTGGCCTATCTGAGCCTATGCCTGGGTTACACGGAAGATGACTGTCGGGTCGGAACTTCGATTACGCTAAAACGCATCCTTCGGTGCTTCTTGGAAACTTGCAAAGCTGTGTTTCTTTTTTGGCGCCACTCTTTTTATCTCTTTTTGATCCAGCTTCCTTCAGTTTCGGCCTTTTCGCACCCTGGCACAACGAACACAAGAAGGTCTCCAGTAGATGCAATTGCACATCACAAGGTCTCCACCAGTGGCGAACTTGGGGAATGCTGCAGGGTGCTTCTTTCCACTCAAATGTCAACCTCCGTTCACCAAGCTACAAAGCTGCAACTGGTCTTCCAGCCATTCTATCCCTCAGGAACACTTCAGACCAGCTCAGTAGTCATCAGCCGAAGCCAGTGATCAGTGATCGTCGCGCTGCATTGGGCCGCGGAACACGTCCAAGGACATTAACGCCGTGGCGGAGTGGTGCTTCGGGACCTCCATCCAGCGGGCCGGGGGATGCGAGAACTGATGCAAGATGCCGGTCATGGGTGTATATGTTTTAAATAGGGAGAGACCCCAGTCCCACAAGGGTTTGGGGATGTGTGGGGTCTAGGTTCCGAACCTTCCGAAGAATCAGGCAGGTCTCCCGAGATTCTAATACACACACACCCGTGTGTGTGTGTGTGTGTGTGGTTTTTATAGTTTTTAGTGTGGGAAGTATGGGCTGAGAGCGACCGGATCGATCCGGTGCTTCTCCATGGCCATCCATGGCCATTCCGGACCATGGTTTCCGAGGGCCACCATGGGCCGGCAGAGAGCAAGGGCCCATATATGGGCCCCAGAGCTGGTGGATGGACGATAGAAGGACAAGAATGGAAGTGAAACATCAAAGAATCTTGGCCCATTGCCTGTCATTCATGTGTTCTTTTCCCATCCAACGCGTTATGTCCATTCTTCTCATCCAAAAAACTGGGCTCCGTCGGTCTCGCGGACCGGTGCAGGTTCAGACCTGGCTGGGCGTGCGCATGCACTACGGGCATCCAGACTTTGTGGTGCGGACGGCCTAGTGGTGCGTGTGGAAACGGAGGAAGACGAATTTCAACAAGTTTGGGGTGGAATACGAGTCTATGGTGGGGTGGATAATTAATCCGAATTAGTCGAATAATGTTAAATCATTGACATCATATTGATTGTATAATAATTGATTAACATGATGCATAAGTGCGTGCTGCGTAGAGGAACTTGTAGAATTCATCTATCACGGCCTGGTCGATTCTTGCTGAAGATTTCTTTGGAGGCAAGGGTTTTATCGATTCATTTTTGGGTCTGGTTGCTGTTGATAGACCTCACTTATGGTGTTGCTTGGGGTGAGAGAATTGTTTGGGTCGCCTGCGGACCTATGCGCACCTGCTCCTCAGTGAAATCATCGGCGGTGTCGACCTTGGTCCTTCGGGAGATCGACCACCAGTTCCTTATATATTGTTCGAACCGATCATTCGTTCTAGAATTTCTTGTTCTGTGACGCTTGTTTTGTAAGACCCTGTTCTGGTGATGTCTCGTGATTGGTAAAGAGAAAAGAGCGGCCCAAGCAAGAGTGTGGCTCAGCCATTGCGATGTTTGTGTCACAATGATGATAGTGCAGTGAATTGACCTTGGAAAGGATTGAACGTAGTTTGATACCAAAAGTATCCAAAAGTTTCCAAGCATGCGTGTTGCTTTTGGTTGGAGGCTTTAGGGTAGCTTTTAGATCCCCATCGTCTCATTCGGATTCGTTTGGTGCGTTTTCTTTGCCGCGGGGATGCTGATGCCGAGGATCTCTACTGGGCCCGGAACCGTGGCTCCATGAGCCCCTCGGATCATGCGGCCAACCGGCGGTTGGTCGAATAAAGGGAGACCAAGCTTTACCAAATCATGAGGGAAATCGCAGGAAAAGCCCAATCCCAAGGTCGGACATGAGCGTTTGGAGAACTGGGAACGGCTTTCACGAATTTCCGATGACCAAGTAATCACCCAAGAGGCAAGTGCAGTGGTAAGTGCAGTCCCGTTTCAGGTCGTGTACATTGGCTGGTATGTTTTTGGGAAATCACAATAGAGAGACCTCCCAAGACCAAGAGCCCCCGTGGAAGGTTCGGGAAATAGACCAGGAAAACCCAGCCAGTCCAGAGGGTCTCCGTCTTAAAACATGAAACACCCTGAGGAGGGTGACTTCTTGGTGGCCAGCCGTCCTGTCTTACTCAGGATAATGCAGCCTTTGAGGGGCTCATGCTGCTAGCTGCTAGCATTCGAACACAAGAGATATTGTAGAGCTTCGCACACCCTCGATGCCATAAGGTTTATGTATTCACGGTGATGGTTTGTTCTTATGTTTTTCTGCACTCAGATCCCGCTGACCCCCAGCCATTGTTGTCATTGTAGTTGCTGCTGCTGGAGTAGGAGTAGTCAGCAGGAGTGGGAGTAGTAGTAGTAGTAGTAGTAGTAGTAGTAGTAGTAGTAGTAGTAG